GTGTGTTGTGGTGTGTGTTGTGGTGTGTGTTGTGGTGTGTGTTGTGGTGTGTGTTGTGGTGTGTGTTGTGGTGTGTGTTGTGGTGTGTGTGTGGTGTGTGTGTGTGTGTGTGTGTGTGTGTGTGTGTGTGTGTGTGTGTGTGTGTGTGTGTGTGTGTGTGTGTGTGTGTGTGTGTGTGTGTGTGTGTGTGTGTGTGTGTGTGTGTGTGTGTGTGTGTGTGTGTGTGTGTGTGTGTGTGTGTGTGTGTGTGTGTGTGTGTGTGTGTGTGTGTGTGTGTGTGTGTGTGTGTGTGTGTGTGTGTGTCTGTGTGTGCGTCTGCGTGCGCGTAGGCGCGTGCGCGTGCGTGTGTTCGTGCGCTGACTGACTGACTGACTGACTGACTGACTGACTGAGTGACTGAGTGAGTGAGTGAGTGAGTGAGTGAGTGAGTGAGTGAGTGAGTGAGTGAGTGAGTGAGTGAGTGAGTGAGGGAGGGTGGGAGGGAGCGAGCGAGCGAGCGAGCGAGCGATTGATTGAGTGAGAGAGTGCGTGGGTGCGTGGGTGCGTGAGTGAGTGAGTGAGTGAATGAATGAATGCGTGAATCAGCAAATCAATGAATCAATACGTGCGCGAGTGCGCGAGTGCGCGAGCGGCGCGAGCGGCGCGAGTGGCGTGAGTGGCGAGAGTGGCAAGAGTGGCGTGAGTGGCGTCAGTGGCGTGAGTGGCGTCAGTGGAGTGAGGTGCGGTGAGGTGGAGTGAGGTGGAGTGAGGTGGAGTGAGGTGGAGTGAGGTGGAGTGAGGTCAGGTGAAGTGAGGTGAGGTGAGGTGGGGTCAGGTGAGGTGAGGTGAGGTGAGTGAGGTGAGTGGGGTGAGTGGGGTGAGTGGAGTGAGTGGAGTGAGTGGAGTGAATGGAGGGAATGGAGTGAGTGCAGTGAGTGGAGTGAGTGGAGTGAGTGGAGTGAGTGGAGTGAGTGGAGTGGAGAGAGTGGAGTGGGTGAGTGACTGAGTGAGTGAGTGAGTGGGTGGGTGGGTGAGTGGAGTGAGTGGAGAGAGTGGAGTGGGTGAGTGACTGAGTGAGTGAGTGAGTGGGTGGGTGGGTGAGTGGGTGGGTGCGTGAGTGAGTGGGTGGGTGGGTGGAGAGTGAGTGAGAGTGAGTGAGTGAGTGAGAGTGAGAGTGAGAGTGAGTGAGAGTGAGAGTGAGAGTGAGTGAGAGTGAGAGTGAGAGTGAGAGTGAGAGTGAGAGTGAGAGTGAGAGTGAGAGTGAGAGTGAGAGTGAGAGTGAGAGTGAGAGTGAGAGTGAGAGTGAGAGTGAGAGTGAGAGTGAGAGTGAGTGAGTGAGTGAGTGAGTGAGTGAGTGAGTGAGAGTGAGAGTGAGTCAGAGTGAGTGAGAGTGAGTCAGAGTGAGTGAGAGCGAGTGAGTGTGACTGAGAGCGAATGAGAGTGAATGAGAGTGAGTGGAGTGAGTGTGACTGAGAGCGAATGAGAGTGAATGAGAGTGAGTGGAGTGAGTGAGTGAGTGAGTGGAGTGAGTGGAGTGAGTGGAGTGAGTGGAGTGAGTGGAGTGAGTGGAGTGAGTGGAGTGAGTGGAGTGAGTGGAGTGAGAGTGAGAGTGAGAGTGAGTGAGGGCGAGTAAGAGTGAGTGACAGTGAGTGAGCGTAAGTGAGAGTGAGAGTGAGAGCGAGAGCGAAAGTGAGAGTGAGAGTCTGTGAGTGAGTGAGAGTGAGTGAGAGTGAGTGAGAATGAGTGAGACTGAGTGAGAGTGAGTGAGAGTGAGTGAGAGTGAGTGAGGGTGAGTGGAGTGAGTGACAGTGAGAGTGAGTGAGAGTGAGAGTGAGAGTGAGAGTGAGAGTCAGAGTGAGAGTGAGAGTGAGAGGAGAGGAGAGGAGAGGAGTGGAGTGGAGTGGAGTGGAGCGGAGTGGAGTGGAGTGGAGTGGAGTGGAGTGGAGTGGAGTGGAGTGGAGTGCAGTGCAGTGGAGTGGAGTGGAGTGGAGTCGAGTGGAGTGGAGTGGAGTGGAGTGGAGTGAGTGAGTGGCAGGCTGGGTGGGTGAGTGAGTGAGAGTGAGTGAGAGTGAGTGAGAGTGAGTGAGGGTGAGTGGAGTGAGTGGAGCGAGTGGAGTGGAGTGGAGTGGAGTGGAGTGGAGCGGAGCGGAGCGGAGTGGAGTGGAGTAGTGGCTGGCTGGCTGGGTGGGTGAGTGAGAGTGAGTGAGAGTGAGTGAGAGTGAGTGAGAGTGAGTGAGAGTGAGTGAGAGTGAGTGAGAGTGAGTGAGAGTGAGTGAGAGTGAGTGAGAGTGAGTGTGAGAGTGAGTGAGAGTGAGTGAGAGAGTGAGTGAGTGAGTCAGAGCGAGGGAGAGTGAGTAAGAGTGAGTGAGAGTGAGTGAGAGTGAGTGAGAGTGAGTGAGAGTGAGTGAGTGAGAGTGAGTGAGAGTGAGTGAGAGTGAGTGAGAGTGAGTGAGAGTGTGTGTGAGTGTGTGAGTGTGTGAGTGTGTGTGAGTGTGTGTGTGTGTGAGCTCGTGAGTGGGAGTGTGTGAGTGTGTGTGTGTGAGTGTGTGAGTGTGTGAGTGTGTGAGTGTGTGTGTGCCTGCGTGCGTGCGTGCGTGCGTGCGTGGGTGCGTGGGTGGGTGAGTGGGTGAGTGGGTGGGTGGGTGGGTGGGTGTGGATGTGTGTGTGTTTGTGTGTATGTGTGTAAGTGTGTTTGTGTGTTCGTGTGTTTGTGTGCTTGTGCGATTGTTGTGTGATTGTGTTTATGTGTGTGTTGTACTTGTGTTTGTGTTTGTGTTTGTTTGTGTGCTTGTGCTTGCGTGTTAGTGTTTGTGTGTTTGTCTTTGTGTTTGTGATTGGTTATCATTTTTTGGTGTCTTTGTGTGTTTGCTTGTTTTGTGTGTTTTGTGCGTTGTGTGTGTGTGTGTTTGTGTGTTTGTGTGTTTGTGTGTTTGTGTGGTTGTGTGCTTGTGTGTTTGTGTGTTTGTGTTTGTGTGTGTGTGTGTTTGCGTGTTTGTGTGTGTTTGTGTGTTTGTGTGTTTGTGTGTTTGTGTGTTTGTGTGTTTGTGTGTTTGTGTGTTTGTGGGTTTGTCTGTGTGTTTGTGTTTTCGTGTGTGTTTGTGCTCGTGTTTCTGCTTGTGTTTGTGCTTGTGTTTGTGTGTGTGTGTGCGTGCGTGCGTGCGTGTGTGCGTGCGTGCGTGCGTTTGTGTATGCGTGCGTGCCGGGGTGCGGGTGTCTGTTTGTTTGTTGCTTGTGTGCTTGTGTGTTTGCGTGGTTGCGTATTTGTGTATTTGTGCGGCTTCCTGCTTGTGTGCTTGCCTGTGCGTATTTGTGTGCTTGTGTTTGTGTGGTTCTGTGGTTGTGTGGTTGTGTGTGCGAGTTTGCGTGTTTGTGTGTGTGGTTGCGTGTTTGTGTTTGTGTGTTTGTTTGCGTGCTTTCGCGTTTGCGTCTTTGTGTGCTTGTATGTTTGTCTGTTTCTGTGATTGGGTCTTTGTGTCCTTGTGTCCTTGCATGGTTCTGTGTTTGTGTGCTTGTGTGTGTGTGTGGGTAGGTCTGTGTGTGTGTGTGTGTTTTCCCCGTTTTGTATGCCTCTTGTGCAAACATGCTATTTTGCAGCATGTTTGTCAACATCCCGGCATCGTTTTAACATCACCAGTTGGCTCTGGCTTAGGCTGCTTAGGGCCAGTTTGGGTAGGCTTTGGGTTTCTTCCGGGTGGGTTTAGGGTTGGTGGTTTTGGTTTGAATACGGTTTGGCTGCGCTTTGGGTTTAGGGTTTGCTTAGTGTGGGTTCAGGGCCTGCTTGGGGTTGGTTTGCAGGTGGCTTAGGCTGTGGTTGGGCCTAGGTGCGCTTAGGGTGGTAGGTTTTGGGGGGGGTTCTTGGTGAGTTTGGGTTGGTTTGAGGGGGTTAGGGTTTAGTGCTGATTTAGGGTGGATTTAGAATTGGTTTGGGGTGGATTTAGGGTTGGTAAAGGATTTGTTCAGGGCTTGTTTCGGGTTGGCTTCGGGTGGGTTTAGGATTGGGGTGGTGGGTTTCGAAGGTTCAGGGTTGGTTTAGGATTGGTTTAGTCATGGTTTATTGCTGGCCTAGTGGGTTTCTTTTGGCGGGTTTGGGCTTGGGACCGGTTGGGTGGGCTATGGATTCTTTGGGGTTCGTTCAGAGTCGGGTTGGGATTTGGATTTGCCTGTTAATGTCATGGAACAAGCCCCGAAAGAAGCGGCGGGCCCTCCAAGAACACAAATAAGGCCACTAATTGAGAAAGGACAAACAAGGTGCTGCTTGGGATGGTGACGCTGAGGATGTAAACATACAACTGAAAAAACACGCAGGGCATCGGAGCTTCTTCTGCGGGCATGCAGGGGCAAAGAACTGCCAGTGACGCAGCCTGGAACCTCACAAGTCCCAGTCCCATGGGCGAGAAGCCCTAACCGGAAGGTTCGCCAAGGTACGACGGCAGCAGCATGTACGAGAGCATCACCAGACAAACAAAGATCAAATGAAGGCAATTCGTCCCAACCTTTGCAGACTTCTTCACCACGTGCGGCTTCCGTGGGTTGTAAATCCACCTGGGGCATACGCCTCGGCAAAGAGCACAATGCGCGGGAGGTTTGAAGGCCAACATTGGTAACTAGTTTAGCATGAATGCCTCAACACCGGAGTTGGGAGGGGAACAGCTCCCGTGCATAGCACCGTCACAGAAACAAGTAGGCCTAGCTACAACCCCAGCTTGTCTGGTTAGCAAGGCTAGCTGGGTCATGCATCTAGGGCATGCTGTCACCCTCGCTCCAGGATTGTGCCAGCAGCGATTGCCAAGCGACAGGACATCAAGAGGCAGACAGTGATCGCAGAAAAGCGCAAGGTGAAGTAAAGCCACAGCTCCTCCACGCCTCCCAGGAATTCCTCAGATCCAGCTGGCACAAAGCGACGCTAAAATGTTCTTGGCTCACGGGAGTGCCAAGGCCATGCCATCCGGTCGCATGACTCGCCAAGATTCATTTGCGGTCTGAAAATCTGAGCTCATGAAGAGCATGTAGGCAGCCTCCGCGAGAGTCAGGAGGAGCAAGAAGCCCGCTTGCCTCTGGAGCCTCAAGGGTTCATTCAGAACAAATTAACCCCCCCCCCCCCCCCCCACATACCCTCCCTCCCACGAACAACTAACACAACAACTGTGGGAGGGTACCTGGAAGATGAATTTCCTCTTGTAGGGACCCCTGTCAGGTGCCAAGTTAGTGGAAGGGAGGGGAACACCTGGGGGTGGAAAGCCAAATTCCTCCCTCCATGTTGGCTTCCCGGTGTCCCATGCTCCTGGGCGCGCTGAAGTTCCCGGCGAAGACCGCGTGCTGGTACCATTGCTGGAATTCGCCTTCCAGATCTTCTGGGAAGCTGCGCCAACCTTCGGCCAAGTGTGTGGGTGTGTGATAAAATTGTAAAATGGGTGTGGCTCAAAATTAAACAGGAGGGGTTACGCAGGTGTTGGTCCATGTTTCCACATACCAGGGTTCCATTTTGGTACCGGTTTCTTGAGCCACAGCCAAATAGGAGGACCGCACAAAATCACGTTTTTCCTTTTGGCCTCCCTTGAGCACGCCTGGGCCATGGACAAACATCATGTGACTGATGTAACGCTTCTTGAAAAGTCGCTGCGTTCTCCCCTCCTAGACAGCCACTTAAAACCTGCCACACACATCCTTTATTCAAACGGGCTTGCGGACGTACTGCCAGGAAAGAACTCAAACCTGCTAACGCCGCGAGCGCTGCGCGCCAATAATGCTTCGCAAGTGCGCAGACTCCTGAACCAAACGCACATCGGTCCGTGCCGCGAAGGCGGCGCCTTTACACACGCCCCGAGCGTAACCCTGAAAGCGTTCGCTCGCGCGCCCCCCGCAAGCAGAAGAGGGCTTGGGACCCTTGCCATGTTTGGAGGAGCCATAGGAATTCGGAAAACTTTTTGGATTCTTCCCCCTTTTGCCCCCTACGTCCCATCAACGCAACCCAGTAACCCGCTTGGCCACTCGGCAATCCACGAAGCCCCCCCCCCCCCGCTTGGCCCCAAAAAAAAAGAGGACCGGTGAGTCAAAACCCCTGCGCCTGGGCCGAAGAAGTGGAGCGCCTGGCGGCACGTCCTCCGCCGCGGCTTCGTCTCGTAGATCTGCCCGATGACGTCGTTGAAGGCGCTGGGCGCCCCCGGCCCGCCGCAGCCTGGGCCTGGGCTGCATCGAAGGCGCTCGGCCAAGCTCCGGTTGGGCGACCTTTGGCGACCATGCTGTGGGTCAAAAATAGGGAAACCCCAGAATGGGGTGCCCGAATAAATAAACACATGGACTAAAACCTGCGGTTTTTGTGGTGGCTTAATTTTGACCCATACCCATGTCAAGCGAGTTGGGACGAATCAGTAGTAAGCCCTCGTCCGCAAGGGGCTTGGCTCAAAACCAAGGCAGTTCAATTCTGTGGATCGATCCCACATGCTTCGCCTCCCGTGGGACAACTCAATTGAAAAGGGCCAACTCAGCTTCCTTGCCGAATATCGGACAGGTGTGCATATAACCCGTTCCAAGTTGTCATATGAAATGACCCGATTCTGAAACGTGTGGCAAGGACACACCAAAATGCGTGATTGGCCTTGTGGGAAAGATGTCCAAATATGTAATCTAAAATCTGGCCAGCGCAACATGCATTGAATCCCAAGTGTGTTTCCGGCGGCAACGACTTGGGCACGTGCTGTACCAGCCCACTAGCTGCGACCAAGCCGTCTTGCTTGTCATCAATCGCTACTTACACTCCTGCAAATTAACATGGAAACCAACAAGCCTTCCTTCTTGCAGGAATCTCCTTTTTTTTGGAGGCCCCCCCTTAGGTTTCATGCTAATTGGCAGGGAGTAACATCATGGTGTTACATGTTTCGTCAAGGCTGAGGAAGCGCCTCCAACCCCCAAACAAACTCAGGAACTGTAGCTGGCCTTGATTCTTCCTCTCATGTCGGAGGTCTTCAAGGGGGTACCTAACGGTACCACAAATGGGTGTCCTGTTGAGGATACCTTTCTTTAAACGGAAGCCAAATGAAAAACACAAATTAACAGCGCTCCTTTTTGCGAGACCCGACCTTCTTGCAATTGACAGTCGCTTTGAGCCCACGTGCCTTCGGTGGCTTGCTTGCCTGCCACCAGCGCGCTGTACAGTGCCTTGGGCGTCTTCAACCTGGGGGCGTGCTGCGAGCGAATCGGATTCGGCCCTTCAGACCAGGCTTTCAATGAGAGAATCAGTTTTCGCCATTTGTAGTGTCCCTGCAAACTGCTAGGTTCACTCCGATCGTGCCAACCCCCCCCCCCCTCGGTGATTCCCTACGAACCAACAAAATCTCACCGAGCAGCTCTGTTTAAAAAGACGCTTCTTTGAATGGGCATAGACCCTGCCCCCCCAAATTGTCCGGGGAACACCCCGGAGGCGATTCCTCTGAACACTTAAGCCAAAAAGGGGTCGAATCTTGACAAGAGATTCCTCTACAAATGGTTTTGTGTTGAGCTCTATTCCCTGCAGGGGAGCAGTTGTTTGCCAACAAGGGAAAATACAAACTATTCTTCAGCAAAGCAATGTATTTCGCCAAGCTCCCCCCCACCTCTCTCGGCCAGTCCCTGTTGCCAGCATCTCCACGGCCTGCTGGCAGGACACAGGCGGGAAGCGAGAGATATAAAATAAGTCACTTTGCTTTGTGCTTCTCAAATGGGTGTCTAAAAATGCGAAGTTGGACCCCAAAATGGTTGGTTTTCTTTTGGGATCCCAAAGAAAAACACCCCAAATAGGAGTACCCTTAAAATGAGGTGCCTCCTTTCGGTTTCCCTTTTAACGCCAGCCAGAAGGAATGGGTCCACCCATGTACACTGCTGCTTTGCAGATTCAGATCTTACTTATTGCCGCAACGCCTACATCTCGGTGGTCAAAACTCCAGGAGACGCTCCAAGGTTTCAGCTTCCCCCTGTAGTTGTGAAGCTAGGCCTGGTAACGTCATAGGGGGTGCACGGTGCCCCCCAAAATGAAGGATTTCCTCAATGGATCACCCCTATGAACTAGGGAATTACTCTTCTCTGCATGGGAGCGCTTCGTTCAGTCTCCAAAAGGGGGGGGACCCAAAATGGGCCTTCTCACCACACTGACCTGAAATAGGCAATCTTAAACAGTGTTTTGAACTGGTCAACTGGACGTTGTGCCTTGCGTCGCTGAATGAGTATGCTCTGCGGGGCTCTGCGGCGTTGAACTGTCCTTGTTTCGCCGGCTTATGTTGGGCCATATCCATCCTCCGGGTTCTTTTTCCAACTGTTTAACAAACGCGCTATGTTTGATTGACCCGATTCTCAAAGTTTACGTGGTCGCCTTAGTTCATGCATCCACGTTTTACTTCCGAACCTGGCATTTGGGGGCGTCCTACGTTGCGCAGCCACGCTGCCGTCTAACAGATCCACCTTGGATATTTCTTGCAGATACCCTTTGTGTTCCACTGGCGCATTCGGGCCCTTCCTCTCAAAGGCTGTCAATCTGGACAACGCTTCAGGCGCAGCTGTGGATTCGAAATCCACAAGTGGATTTGGCATCACAAGCAAACCTTGACATCTATTTGTGAATGGACCACTGTGTCGGTTTTGGTACAGCTTTTTTCCCAAAAAAAACTTTGGAACGACCGATGCCCGCGGTGGCCCTTGCCTGCAGGCGGGTGTTGCCGATGCCGTCGAGCAAATACGCCGCCATGAGGCCCTTTCCTTGCACATCGCTGCCGAAATCCGCCGAAGCATGCGCGACTCTGGAGATGACCCAACCCGAGCTGCGACCAATGCACCCAGTCCAGCCCGCCCGCGCTGATCGGGAATTGGGCCAGCTTTGCTCCAGACTCCAACAAAAAAGCAAAAAGGATCGGCCCCCGAGAGGATCAGAGACTTGGCATCCACACACACACACACACCCACCCGCGCGCGCGCACACACGCACGCACGCACGCACGCACGCACGCACGCACGCACGCACGCACGCACGCACACACACACACACACACACACACACACACACACACACACACACACACACACACACACACACACACACACACACACACACACACACACACGCACTCCTGAAGGAGCGCACACGGGAAACAAAACAAAACAAACTAAAACAATGCAAACCGTCCGCACATCGGGCAAACCTTGACCAACAAACAACAAACGACATTGGAGCCAAGTTTTAGGGTCTTTGAGGCAACATCGCAAAGCGGCCTCAACCTGATAGACGACGAACGCCGCGAAGAACAAAGTGCCAGAGGAGCCAAAAGAGCAAGAAGCTAAGAGCCAAAGAGGATACCCAGCCAACCGAAGACCAAGACGGAGAGGACAACACATAGAAAAAGACTGACACGAGAAAGAAGCACAGACCAGCTAGAGGGGGAAGAAGCCATCCTGCGAGGCCTACAGAAGGAGCAGACAAGCTAAAGACGGGGTAGCCACCACCCCGCAATGGGGCCAAGAGTAGGAGGACGGACAGAAAAGCAAAGAAGTAGACGAAAACCAGCGAGCAAGTGTCAAGTAAACAAACACTTGAGATCACCCGAGGCTTGCTTTGAGCAAGTGAGGGTAAATCAAGCGCGACATGCCCGCACTGTCTCTGGCAGACGGCTGAACCGCAAGTACGATGACCCAACTCCCGATCAGCGAGTTGAAACACTCCGCTTCACGGGCGGTTGCATTGGGCGAAGCTGGTAGCCCAATTTGAATGGGTCGACGCCGTTGCTTTGTTTAGGGCCCGTCAACCAGCTCATGAGGAAGCTTCGACCCGACTTACGGATGTTCACATGGTTCACAGGCTTGGGGCCGGCGTTGAGGATTGGAACCGACAATTGCAAATTGAGACCCCCGTCAGCTGTTCCAAACTCCTGACGAGGAAAAGAAATCTGTCGGAGTGATCAGGGACTCGGCACGCGCGGAAATATATACACACCGCCGCCCGCTCAAAAGCACGGCAATGCGCAGCAGTGCTTTAAGTTCTTCGCCCATCGGGCAGGCCGGACAAGCCAAAAACAACCAAAATACATGGAGCTAGAGAAGCACACAAATTGGAAGCAAGAAAAGCCATCTTTCTCCTTTTCTCTTTCTTTTGTTCTTTCCTTCTTTCTTTCTTTCTTTCTTTCTTTCTTTCTTTCTTTCGTTCTTTCTGTCTCTCCCTTTTGTGTGGCCTTAGCTTCTTGGCTTTGCTGCCGTCTTGACTGAAAGAGAAAGAGAAAGAGAAATCGAAAGGGGAAGGGGAAGAGGGAGAGGAGGAGAGGAAGAGAAAGAACAAGCAAAAAAAGAGAGAGAGAGAGAGAGACAAACAGCTTCTGGGTGGAGCAGGGCCACAAACCCGGCGTTCCAAGTACGCACAGGCGTTCGAGCAGCTCAGAAAATGAAGGGCCGGGAGCGTGATTAGCCGCCCCACTGCTGGACAATTGAGGCGAGGGCGGGGCTCGCCCAGGCCGGACTTGCCTGCGCTCCTTCTTTCCCCGGACTTTACGGCCCCTCAAGTCATGGGCAAAGTCGGCGGCTTCCTCCATCGCGCGCCACCATCGACCCCGCTTGGTGCGGGGCTCGCCTTGGCCGAGCTTGCCTGCACCTCCGTCTTGCGCCAGACTTTGCGGCCCGTGCGGCTATTTGACGATTCCTCAGCCTGAGTCGTGGATGGAGCCCACCGCCCAATTTGGGTTCTGCAGGCCGCCATTGCTGAGCGGCACGCAAAGAAACGTCTGTTGGGGATCCCCACTCCCAGCTCCCGCGCCTCGTCGTCAATAAGTGGCAAGCGCAGCATATATGCATGTCTTTACGGGAAGCCATGGCACGAAACACAACCCTGGAAAGTTCAGGAAGCTTCGCAGTCAGATGTGAAAAGCGGCACGCACAAAGGCAGTGAAAACGGGTCAGAGTCTAATGGGTGAAAGTATCGATGTGGGCGTCAAGATACATGGATCGGCAGTCCACAGCAGACGAAGCAAAGGATAACTGTGTGGAGGGCCGAGACCGACTAGACGATGAAGAAGGGCATAAGACAGGGCAAGGGCAACGGAGTCGGCATGCCAGTGTATGGAGACTGCCCAGAGCCAATAAGAACAGAAGTTGCGAAGGATGCTGATCATCCCTGCCCCCACCCCCCACCCCCCCGACAGTTGACTCTTGCCGAATGTCACGACAGTAAAAGCAACATCAAGCCTGTTGATTCTAGAAGGACGTGTCACCGAAAACAAGGACAAAACAAAGCCGGGGAGCCAGAAACGCTTGAGCTAAAATGGCTACCGAGCCAAGGAAGCTAAAAAAGCCGGAAAAGCGAGAAAAGCCAAGAAGCTAGAAAAGCCGACAACGCCTTCAAATTATTTCTCTCCCCAAAACAACACTTGCGTTGCAAAGTGGCCTTCCCTAAGCAAAAGGAATCACTAACCCCAATTCAAGTCACAGACTTCGCTCCTTAAACTGTGGATTGACAAACCCCACACCCTTTGCTAGGTGGCCCAGGTGGTCCATCACACTCTTCATAGGCTTCGTCCATCACAACTGGCGCCAAGCACCCACAGCATTACTCACTTTTTTTGTGTTAAGGCGCGTTTTGCCAACCGAGGTGCCCTTCATCTCGATGTCTCCCCTGAACCGCACTTGCACCCAGTCAGGCAGCTGTTTGCGCGTGGATTCTCCCATCTGCACCTCCGGCGTGTCACAAGAGGGGCAGCAAGAGGGCCAGCAATGTGTGGTGCATCTCAGATTTATCTTACCTTCCGGTTCCACAGATTTGCCATTTGGCGTTGTGAGTTGGTGCGTGCATGGTTTGGGTTCAAGCGCTTTCCCTCCAAGCCACCACCATGCCCCCGCATCTTGGAGCAGGAGCCTCCCCAGCCAAAGCATCGAACCCGACCGCGCGCCTCTCCCGGGAGGCTCTTCTGCATCATGCGGGCAGCGGTGTTCACCGTGTCCCCAAACAGCCGGAAGCGCGGGAGTTTGGTGCCCATCACCTCCAGCTCCGAACGATGGCAATCCGGTGACAAGAAGCTGGGAGCAATCCAAGCCTGGCCGGATGCCACCAGCCCAACCACTGAGAGATCTGAGCAAAAGCCTGGTACCAAAAGGGCCCCGCCCAAAACCGCGTAAATACTTCGCAGGGTGGATACTGCACCTAGGACCTAGTCATGGTTGAAACTATCCTCTAACCTTCATTTGCCCGGGTTTTTATTGTGGAACGCCTGGATGACTGGGTCGCGGAGGAGCCTGAGAGCTTTTCCAGCCCTGATGGCTTTCTGTGGGCAGCATGAGAAACGAAGTTTAAATGATTGGTCTGTGGGCAACCTTGTGGTTGGCTCGGGAGAAGCTCAACAATTGGCTGTCAGGCACCCATGGAAGTAAGCAGGCGCTCTGAATCAACAGGTTTCCTTGAATACGGTTCAAGCACGGTTCCATGAAGCAATGCAAGGGGCGAGGGACTTTGCCACTATGCCGGAATCCCAGGGCGGGGTAACCTATCCACGCCGCCTTTCGTGATGAGAACCAATGCCAACCCCCCCCCAACAAGAACCGCTCCAAACAAGTCCAACGCGCTGGGGCTAAGTCGAAACACTCACACGATTCACTCCCCCAGGCCCAAGCTTCCTAGGCGGGTTCTCTTAAGCTTCCCTTACTGTTCAAGGGGTGTGGTTCAAGGCGGTCCTCTTGCCACTCTTATTGGAACCAGTTTGGTTTTCCCTCCCGGGAGGGAAAAATCAAAAACAGACTTCTCGGGGAGCCAGTTATTTTTAACAAGGGACCCTCCCACTAACATGGCATCTTACCGGGGGTCCCTACCACAGGGTTCTGTCAGATTGGAGGGCACTCGGCCGTGCAGATCCGAGCGAGTGGCGCCAGCCACCACCGGGCCAGTGTGGAGGCCCATCTTGAAAACCACCCGGTCTCGAACCTGGCCACTCGAGGTGCCCATAGTTACAAGATAAAATATGCCCTGATTCGGTGTCACGTGTTGGTCCCCAAAATCCATATTGGTATTGGAGGCCCCGTACATGAACCTTTGGCCTTTGGCTGGCTTAGTGGCAAAACTTGCAGTTTCAGAAAAGTATGTACAATAGCCAAATGCTTACACATGCTTACACGATAACCATTTCGGGATTCTAACTACTGCGCCACTTCAAGAACAGAAAGTGGCCCAGAAACCCGTTTTCCACAGTGGTGACAAACCCTAAACCTCTGATGTGGTTTGCAGCTGTTCAGTTTGAAGGCGGTAGCCGACTAGCAAGCCCCTCCTATGAATGACCCGTGAAACGAATGACCCGCCAAATGCAGGCTGCACAAGGGCAGAGAGACAGGCAGAGATCCTGCAACAACCCGGAGGAAAATGGTCTTCCGAAAGGGTCTCCCGGCGGCGCCTTCGGCATCCCTCGCCTTTCGTGCGTGCCACATAGACAGCTTCGTCCAACAGGACTCCATTGGGGGCCGCTTTTCTCTCCCAATGTAGAATGAGGCGTCCAGTGGCGTTCTGGTGGAGCTTCTGTTTGGCAAGTTACCCTCCTATCCAACACAGAACTTGACTCATAAGCCTTGCTAAGTAATATAGAGAGCTCCCCCGAAAAATAATTCCCTCTTGAAGAAGCCTGGGCCCCCAAGACTGTAAGCAAGTGTTCTGGTGGTGCCTGGAAACTCATCAGGAGATATGACGGGGGTAGCCTGTCTCAATTCCAACGAACTTCCAGGCCCAATTTTCGTCCCCGTTGAAGCTCCCGTGCAGTAGAAGGAACCCCGCCGTAAGCAGAAAAGCAACGCTGAACATGTTGGCATCCCACCCAGGGCAACAGGGTCACCACCCCTAAACTGAGATACATGCCCCTAGCTTCCTAAAGAGGTGTGCAATATGCCACAAAAGCACAGGAACACTTGTCCAAAGCGCCTGTAGGCAGCGGATCTCCGCTGCCACTTTAATCAGCTGGGTGAGAACGTCCTCGAAGCAATCGCTGGCCTGAGCGTCGCGGGGGGTAGAACAACTACAGCACTTTGGCCTTTCTGTTTGGTCATCGACTTGTTTCATTGTAATCCGTTCAATCTGAGGCAGGGAAAGTTTAGTTTCTCGTTTCGGACAGTTCTTGCTTCCAACAAGGGGCGGGGGAGGAGGGAAGGGGGAATACCTGGGCTTCTGAGAAACAGACCTTGGACTTCACCGCTCAGAGCGGTCCCTCCCAAACGTTTATATTGGGCTATGTTAAGTTCTTCTGGGTTTAGATTGGGCTATACCAGTTCTTGATGGGGAGTATGGGGCCTATTTACATACCACCAAGCAGTGGCGGCCACGGCCAAGTGAGGCAACAGCCTTTCTGGGCACGTGAAGCAAAACTTGTGCACCTCATTCTACCGGAAATGAGCAAAGTAAAGCAACGTTGCCACTCCCAAAACAGTTCAAGCAGAAACTGCTTCGGAATCCAGTTCGTATTTCAGAGACTATGGCAAAAAGTTGCAGGTCCATGTCCTTGACGGCCAGGCTTAAAAATGCTAATGCCGCTGCCCTTTGGCGCCGAAAGCAAAGCAAATATGTTGAGCAAATGCAACACCTCAGGGCCTTTGTTTTCGATTTTTAAGGGCGGATGACGGAGTGCAGCCACGCATCATATTGATGCGCAAGCTACTTGTAGGTAAGGGTCATTCTCCTTTGCTCGCATTTGCCTCACCAACTACTAAGCAGCAGCAAGACATGACGCTTGATGCTTGCCTTCGGAGCCCTAATAAGGTTCCCCGATGTGCCAACCATGGCTCGCAGCTTCCGAATGAGAAGGGCTGAGGCAGAATCGTGTTGGACACTGTTTTTCTGCACCTTGGACAGCTTTTGCCTTGAGAAACCGTAGCGTTGAGCCAACATCAGTTCCCTAGTGGGCTGACCCAATCAACCAAACTTTCTCTGTACCCCTGAACTGATCTTTCAACAACAAACTTCAAGTTCATGAACTCAGGGGTGACTTGCACGCAAGCGAGCCTTCACATTTGAGGAATGTCTCTGGAAGGGCCCGAGCCCATGCACTACTACGCCGCTGCAAAGGGTGCCTACGTGAGAAAAAGTCATTTTGCAGGTGCACATGCGGACACCTACGCGGGCAAATGTTCCGTTCAAGTGCACTACACAAAGTGCATTTTCGCGGCTCCAGCTGGAAGATCGCAACTGTGCAGTACAAGTGTAGCACGCGAAGCACACTTTGGCAGCTCCAGCTCTAAGACCACCTTCGCAGCACAAGTCCGAACACCCCACATCTTTCCAAGGATCTGGCTGCTTGAAAAGTCTACTTATTCAAACTCCTTGTAAGCCTACGCCAAGTCCTAAAGACCAAAGAAGCGAACTCCTCTATCCTTGCCAAACAGCAGTGAGCCATGCTTCGCTCAAAACACGCCTATGCGAGCCGACGCCCCCAACCAGGATTGCCTCTGCGAAGTGCATGCAGTTCCCTTTCTCTAAACCCTTTCACTTTCATTTGATTAAAAAGCCACTGGTCATTTGATAGTTAGAAACTGGGTGGAAATTTGACCCTATTGGCTTTTCACGTCTCCGCCAGGATAGAAAGCTGTGCGAGCAAGCTGGAGAAAAGAACTATTGTTGTACACCTCCCTGCTTTGGGCCTTTTGCAAGTTTGGCATACCTAGTGAATCTTTCACTATGGTGCCCAAACATGTGTTTCCCTACCCAACAAAGGACCACCCTGGCACCAGCAACGGGTTCAATACCTCGACCCGCAAAGGACGACCCTGCCTTGGGGCGAACGCCCACTGCGCAAACGTACTCTTCGGCTACGGTCTCGATCTTGGTGACCCCGTAGGCGGCACAGTAGAAGTCAAAAAGGTTGTAGTACCTGGCAGCCCCCAACACCAAACGTGAGTGATCAAACCTGGCATCCGGACTGTTCCCAGACCTTCAATCTACCCACAACCCGACATCCCGACCAAACGATTGCTTTGGGACTGAGGGCCAAGTGGGGCCAGAAGCGGTTGAAATGCGCATAACAACTGTTCAAAACCAAACACGGCGTCGGCCCGCAACCTCTGCGCTTCGCTTGGCTATGAGCTTGAATGGGTGACACCTGCCGTGGTTGGCGAACAAAACCCCACCAAAGGGTCCGTCCATTTCGGCCGGTCTGAACTCCGAACCACAGGTTCTGTTCGTTTGAGTGGTGCCGGCTAGCAAGGCAGAACATGCCCTGTAACCTTCGCAGCCAAAACTTGCCGGTGAATGGACGCCTCCATTTGCTCGGTTGCTCGTAGGTATGCGAACGGTCATCATTTCCTGCTCGTTTGTCGATCCGTCCCCTAAACCCCACCAACCCACCCCGCCCCCCCCCCAAAAAAAAACAACAACAAAAAACGCGGGTGACATCCCCAACAGCATGCGGCGCTCTTTGTTGTGCTTGGGCCCGACCGCAGCCCGGGAAGCAAACCACCGATCCACCCACGAATCATAGCGCACTGCCCGATTTGCTTAGGATGCCGCTTTACCCGGTACAGCCGACGGTGCTCGACCCAGGCTGCGCAACCGGGCCCCGATCAGGGACCGACGGTGCAGTTGCCGCCCGACGGGAAACTACCAAGCCAAGCCACCAATTATAGAGCACCGCCGGTTTTGCTTTGTCGCCTTAGCTGTGAAAGTACAGCCGACGGCGCCCGACCGGGGCCCGACGGTGCAATCGGTGCTGGACCGGGGCCAGGGAGCCACGAATCCAAGCCACCAGTCATAGCGCACCGCCGGTTTTGCTTAGGATGTCGTTTTAGCAGAAACGGTACAGCCGATCGGGGCCCGACGGTGCTCGTGACGCTTGTGAGAACCGTGAGAACTCTGGCTGCTGCGGGAACAGAGCTGAGTTCCAGAGGGCTCCGCAAGGGAAACCTCAACCCTTGTGAAACCCTTGTGAAACGTGGAGCGTTGTGGAACCTTTCACAGCACCCTAGTAAAACCCTGGTGGACCTCTCGTGGAACCCTGGTGGAACCTCGTGGAACCTCCTCAGGGCCGCCCTCTTGGCTGGGACCCCAAAGCTTTGAGCAAAACTCGGGTGATTTTCTCAACAGCATGCGGAACCCTTGTGGAACCCTGTGCAACTCTGGTGGAACCCTCGTGGAACCCCGCCCCAGACCACCCCGGAGCCTATCTGAGCTGAGACCCCAAAGCTTTCAGCTGTTGGGGGAGAAAAAAGCAACAACAGAGAAAAACAAAAAGAAACAAGCTGTTCATGGGGCACTTGTTCAGGAACTGCAGCAGCTCCGGCGGGGTCTTCCGCTGCACCACCTCCTCGAAGTCGTCAAAGGCGATGAACAGTACCGAGGCGCTGTCCTCAGAGCATAGGTTTTGGGGGTGAAAAGGGGCGGGGATGGGCGGGGGGGGAGTGGGGGGAAAGGGTCGGAGAGCTTTGGGGGAATTTTGTTTTGAGGCCTTGAGCTCCCCTCTTGTCAAAGCTTGAGATGTGTTCTCCCGTTTCGCTCTTGCAGGTACTTGCCGACCTGCAGGCTGCTTCTTTGCTTCCAGCTCTCTTCGTCCCATCTCCACTCTTGCCTTTGCCTCTCTCACTCTGGTCTGAGGGGAGCCGCCAGATATTCTGCCACAAAAAGGCATAGCTTTGTCAACCCTGCGCTCCATGCAGTGTTGTCGCAGAACAAAGGGGCTTCACAAACGCAGTAGGGCAGCAGGACACACACCTACCGACGGTTGGGGGAGCTTGGCGGTCGGCTTCCCAAATTCGAAGTGAGCCTGGTCGTGCTATTTCATGGCGCCAAGGAAAGCGGCTTTTTTACATGTCCAGCATCTGGAGACAGATATCAAGTCACCCCACGTGAACTCCTGGCCATTTCAGTGACCTGCACGACAAGTCCCACTCAGTGTCAGGCTGAACAAAGAACCATGCCTTTTTCATGTACAGGGGCCAACCCAGGCTCATTTCGCTGTACAAACAAAGAAAACCAACTCTAAACCTGAAGTAAGGCTCCAAATTGAGCTTCTTCGGCAGAACCTCGTTTAACCTACCCCCTGGTGTTCAGCAAACACGTGCGACATTATTTCCTGATCATTATTTCCTGCTCAACCAAGTTATGCCCTTTTTGTTTGGGCACACATGAAGCAATTGGAAAGAATTGCGAGGTTCCGCTTTTGCAGTTGGTTTTGTACAACAGGGACGCCTCCCTGGTTCCATCTCCGAGTCGGGTTCTCCCAACGGCCGCCCTTCGACCAGAGCGTCGCAGTGGAAGGAGAGCGGCACCGAGGGGTTCTGCGCATGCTGCAGCCTGGGCGAGGCTGCGCGGTTCGCAGGGAATGCGCTTACCTGACTTGTGTTCCAGGGGCACCTGGGCAAATTGCTTAGACCCAAGGGGTCGATTTCCCAAACCAGGAGAACCCCCTGCCTTGGGGTAGCCAAAAGGAACATGGCAACGTATGCAAATTCACCAACCAAAAATATGGGCCCCCTCTGAAACTAATACCCCCGCCCCCCCTTGACCTCGCTTTACTTTAAACCATAGTGCTGAACATATTCTCACTAAGGCGGGCCTACCACGATGACGTGTTGGATCAATTTGTTTTGGCCCTACAGCTATGGCCAAACGCAGACTTGGCCTCTAAACTTGACTTGCATAACTTCTAGGCACGTTTTGCGTCCACTTACTTGCGACATGATTGGAACGAGCCCCTGGGGCGGATGTCCGTCTGACGCGCCAGCGTCGAGGCCGGTGACGCCAATTTGTGTTGGCACAACATCAGGCTCCTACCTTGCCCAGCCAGGGTTTCATGTTGGGATACACCCACAGTACGTCTTCAGAGTCGAACAATTCTCCGGTCTGCATGCGGGTGAGCACACCGCATTCCGGATGACTTCTGTAACACAACTCACTTTGTCCAAGCCAAGCTTGCTGGACCCCAAAGCCTCCAGGACCCGTCAGCCATGATGCTCGAAAAAACCCTCCAATTTCACCGGACCCTGCAGCAAGTCGTGGTACACAACGACTAACCATGGGAAGCCCATGGCTTGCGTGACGACGTATTTGCAAGCGCCGCCCCTGGTCTTTCCCACAAATCAAATTTCAGGGGTGATGCAGTAGATTTCCTCAACCAGAACCCAAGAGTGTGCAACCGGGTGTGTGTTAAAATAGTGGCCCAAAAAATGGCGGGTGTCCTTTTGGCCACCCTTTAAACCAACTTGAAAAGGCACCCCCCAATAAACAAAGAACAATATTCTCACTTGCCCAAAGGACCCAGAAATAAAAGGTCAACCTTTTGGCACCTCCACTAAAAATGAACCAAAACGGGACAACCAAAAGGTCAAAAGGTCGGCTTTGGGCAACTGAGTATTGGCCCATGCACCTTTACAAAGCGAGTCATGGGATCCGAACCCAACCACACAGCCGGCTGTGGGCATGAGCTTTCGATAGATCGGTGACCATGGGGAAAAGAAACCTGTTGGTCACCCATTGTTCAAAAGCAGCCCAAGCTGGGCCGGTTCGGCGTTGGCAAGCCACATGGGCAGAATCACAAAGTCCGGCACCATAAATTCGAGGATTCCTGAAATGCGGCGGGGTCAGCCGCGCAAAATCGGCCAGCGACAAAAACCCTCCCACCCAAGCACCGCAAGCCTAGCATAGTCACACGTGATGGGAAGCCTTGATGGCCAAAAGTGTTCGTGTGTTTGCGCGGTGCCTGTTCCCAATGTGGTGTGTGTGTGTGTGTGTGTGCTTGCTTGCTTGCTTGCTTGCTTGCTTGCTTGCTTGCTTGCTTGCTTGCTTGCTTGCTTGCTTGCTTGCTTGCTTTGCTTGCTTGCTTGCTTGCTTGCTTGCTTGCTGCTTGCTTGCTTGCTTGCTTGCTTGCTTGCTTGCTTGCTTGCTTGCTTGCTTGCTTGCTTGCTTGCTTGCTTGCTTGCTTGCTTGCTTGATTCGGTGCCGGCGTGGTTGTTTGCTTCATTGATTGATTGGGTGGTTGGTTGATTGATCCACGGCGGCAGGGCACCCGCATGCCTTCTTTACGTGCATTTGTTTGTGTGCGTATTTTTGTTTGCTTGTTTGTTTGTTTGTTTGTTTGTCTGTTTGCTTGTTTGTTGGTTGGTTGCTTGCGTGCCGGCTTGCTTGTTGGTGTGTCTGGTTATTCTGTTTCTCTCTGCATTTCTGTCTGTATTTGTTTATTTCGGTCATTATTTATTCCTTTCTTTAATCATGTCTTCCTGTCTTGCTGTCTTTCCTTCTTTCTGTCTGCGTGTCTTTCTTTCTGTTTTTCTTTCTTTATGTATTTCTTTCTTTTGTTCTTTCTGTCTCTGTCTCTGTCTCTGCCTGGGTCTCTGTCACTGTCTCCGGCTCTGTCTTGTCTCTCACTCTCTTTCTCTCTCTATCTGTCATTCCTTCTTCTTGCCTTCTGTGTTTCTCTTTTTTTGGCTGTGTCTGTGCTCCTTGGTTGCTTGGTTGTTGTTTGTCTGCTGATGTGTTCGTGTGCTGCTAACTAGCTAGTTAGTTAGTTGTTCGGTTGCGTAGTTAGCCAGTTGGGTGTGCTTTTGTCTTTGTTTGGCTGTTTGCTTGTCTGTCTGTCTGTTTCACTAATTGCTTGTGTGTTGCGACTCGCTGTTCGCTTGTTTTGGATTTTTTGTTTGCTTGTTCGTTTGCTTGTTTGGTTGGTTGGTTAGTTTGTCTGGTTCTTTGCTTGTGTGTGCGTCCTTGCTTGGTTGTTTGTTTGCTTGTTTGCTTGTTTGCTTGTTTGTTTGCTTGGCTTTTTGCTTGTTGTTTGGCTGTTTATTTATTTGGTTAACTGTGTGTTTCTTTGTTTGATTGTTTGTTTGCTTATGCGGGTGCCTGTGTTTGCCTGTCTTTGATCTGATTTGTTTTGTGTTGCTTTCCATTGTTATGTTTGGTTTGGTTTGTTTGTGTGCTTGTCTGTCTGTTTGTATTGTTGGTGTGTTGTGTTTTTGCTTGGTTTGGGGGGTTGTTTTTGTGTGTGCTTGTTTGTTGGTTTGTTGGTTTATTGGGACTGCCTTTATTGAGTGTTTCTTTATTTCTGTCTTTCTTTGTGTGTTTCTTTGTTTCTTTGTGTGTGTGTGTGTTTGTTCGTTGTTTGTGTTGTGTATTTGTTTGTTTGTTGGCTTTGTTGATTGCTTGCTTGTTTGTTTGTTTGTTTGATTGGTTGATTGGTTGTTTGCCTGCTTGTTTGCTTGTGTTTGCTTGTTTGTTTGTTTGCTTGTTTGTTTGCTTGTTTGTTTGTTTGTTTGCTTGTTTGCTTACTTGCTTGCTTGCTTGCTTGTTTGTTTGTTTGTTTGTTAAGTCAGTTTCGTTTGTTGGTTTGTTTGCTTGCTTGCTTGCTTGGTGGTGTGTTTGTTCGTTTGTGTGTTTGCTTGCGTGGCGGTGTGTTTCTTTGTTTGTGTGTGTGTGCTTGCGTGCTTGCTTGCTTGCTTGCTTGCGTGTTTGTTTGTTTGTTTATTTGCTCGTTTGTTTGCTTGGTTGGTTGGTTGGTTGGTTGGTTCGTTGGTTGGTTGGTTGGTTGGTTGGTTGGTTGGTTCGTTGGTTGGTTGGTTGGTTGTTGTATGATTGTGGTTGTATGATTGTGCATTGCGCGCGTGTGTGTGTGTGTGGTGTGTGGGTGTGTGGTTGGATGACTGTGTGTTTGATGTGCGTGCCGTGGTTTACGTGTGTGTGTGTTCATGTGCGTGCCTGGATTTGTGAGCACTTTTTATGTGTGCATGGATGTGTGTTGTTGTGTGCATGTGTACTGTAGTGTTGTTGTGCTGCTGTGTTGTTGTTGCTGTGGTGCTTGTGCGCTGTAGTGTTGTCGCGTGCTGTTGTGTTGTGCTGTTGAAAGTGACCGCATGCCAAGTGCCTGACGATCCGTCCGTACACGTGAAGCCGGAGGTGACAGAGCTAGAACAAGCTAACCGAAAAGTCCCACACCGAGAGGACCTCTTGCATGAAAGGCACCTCGTGAGGCTCTTCAAGACAAGGTTACCCAACTACAGAAAGGGGCCTCTCAGACAAGTTCTCTTCATCGCATGCCACGCTTTGCTGAAGCAATGGCACGAGGGTAGTGAGTAGCTGCTCGGTCCCAAACAAAGAAACGACGCCCTTCATGTTCGCCATTGCCAAAAGTGGACTAACTGCACAAGCCGACCGGAATCGAAACCCTTCCACGCACCTGACCAGAGGAAGCACCTTTCGTGTGGACAAGCATCCCCATGCCCCAAACTTCTTTTAACACTCCCATGTCGTTTTTGCTTGCAAGCAAGGAATGTGGGAAGAACCGAAGAACCCACTCCCTCTGAGAAGCGAGCCCAGCTTTGCCTACTGGAAAATCAAAGACATGCGCATGTCCCCTAAACCTCGTTGGTCTCCAAGCAGTTTCCCTTCAAACCCAGACTGAAACGGTCTTGTCCGAGTTTTCAGACACCATGCACCACCAGAGCACTGCTTTCCAATCAACCCCTTTCGCCCTCCATGTCTTCAAGCCGGGAGGCTGAACATGCTCATGCTCACTTCCCGGTTCTTGAGGTTGGTGAGGAAAAGGGACCTCGTCTGCTCCTCCATGGTGCACTTCTTCCTGCTCGCCACCATCTGGACCAACGACAGCAGCACCAGGCGCACGAAAAACCTCGGCCGCTTTTTTTGGTTTTTTAAGGGCGGGGTCCATGGCAATGTGGGACTAATGTGCATGGGAAAGAGCTTTTGGTGTAGGGAGACGCCCTTCACCCCAAACAAGTTGGGGGTGGGGTTGTTTACCTTGCGACCCGTGAGGGAAGGTTTCTACACTTGGGTGGCTTGTAGTTCCTCTTCACACCAAGTTGGAAGGCACTGATTGACCTCCAAACTACTAACCCAAACGACCCAAACCACCAAACAGGGATAAGCAGACAAGGGGCAACAAAACGAAGCCCAACAGCAACGAAAACAACTGGTCACCAACTGCCTTGTCCCTGTCAACGTACACAATGCTTTCCAATACATGAATGAGCGCCAAAAGGGAGCCGATGTGGACCAGCCAAAACGGCCTGGGGCCCTTTTCATAAGCAGCCCCGAAAACGCAAGAATCGAGCCCGTGCCTGCTCATCTTGCAGGCAAGAGGAGCTCATTCTTTGCATCCAAAGCCCAGTCCTCCTCGTTTGCAACGATAGCAGAGGCAACCAGAGCTGCCAGAAATATCCAGCACCACATATAAGCGCAGTACCTGCCGGGGAAGTGCGGTTGTTTCCAAACATAGTACCCTTTGGACGGTTGGACAGTGGAGAAGCGAAAAGGAACCGCAACCACCGTTCTATTGTTTGTCCTCCTAAGCCGCGACAGGAGGCGACCACCCAGACTCAGACTGCCAACCCGGCCAACCTGCAGGGTTTTCACCTCGAGGGCCGGGAGAGGTCTCAAGCCTATGGCCAGACCCTAAGTTGTGACCCATGGCGTCATCGAACACATGTCCGAGCATTTCTTGGGCCACGGTCCTTCTGAATAATTTTTCATAAGGGGGGACGAGACTGTGTGCTTCTGAGACACTCCCGTGGCCGAAGCATATGACTGTTTGAGAGAGCCCCTTCAAAGCGTTTCTGTGTTTCGTGGAGAGCCTGTCTTGAGGCTTGTCAATGAGTCAAGATTATTGTAATGTGACCACGGCTGTGAGTGGGATGAGTCGTAGGGCGCAACGTCTGCCGCCATTATCAAAAACGCCATTATCAAGTGGTTTGCTTCATGAGACCTGACTTTTTGTCGAATTGTCCGGCCTGTACTCTGGCAGAACCAGAACTTGCCTCGGCTGCGACTTCGAGAAGCACCCTGCTCGACCATACCCAAAAAAAAAACTCAACACACACACACACACACACACTCGCGCGCACGCGCACAGCCACACACCCCGCATGCACGCACGCACGCACGCACGCACCCACCCACACACACACACACACACACTCACACTCACACACACACACTCACACACACACACATACATTCACACACACACACATGCACGTACAAACTTGCAACAGCCAGACTGGACCCACATCTACGCATTACTCCTTGTCTTTTTGCGTCCTGCTCAAAGATACTGACAGCTCCCATCTCATAATCGTGGAACGCAAGTGGCCTGAATACTGTTTCCGTGCCTAGTAGCTCGCCTCAAGAAAGTATGGCAAGCGACTCACTTTTGCATAAGCTCTTTGGGACATTTACCTGCACAGGACAGGCTCTCTGTGCAACCTTTCTGTGACATCGCTCTGGGCAGTGAGAACTGCAAGATCCTTCTGGGCAACCACCCCCAAAGTGATTTATCTGCATCATTTCCCTCACATTCTCTCCGCGCAAGCTCTCTCCGCCGTTTCCGTGCGCACTCTTGCTGCACAATCTCTTTTTGTGATCCCTATCTCGGTCTGCAATTGACTTCGACATCATCCGTTGCAATCTCAGCGCACCGTGTCTTGGCTATCCCTCACTGATTCTCACGGAGAATGTCTCCTCATGTTTCCGCGAATTATCTCTGCGCAATCTCACCCTGCAGAACCTCTCTTGCGCAACTCTGAGCAATCTCTCCGCGCAGTCTCTCGGAGCAATCTCTCTGCGCTGTCTCCCTGCGTTATTTCTCTCTGGACGTTCCCTCGGCCCAACTTGCTCCGCGCAAACCCTCCTCGGTTGCGGTGTTAATGTGTCCTGCCAGAACAGGACTTCCCACTCAAAAGCGGACAAACACCACGAGATACTTTTCGGGCCCACTCCGAAAAAAATAAGCCACGCAGAGAGTTGACACAAGCGAGGTGCCGACCAGTTTGCTTTGAACCAACCGCTTTGGGGGGTGGTATCGCGTTGGCCCACGAAGACAGGCCACACGGCCAACCATGTTTTCTGATTCTGTTCCATTTTTAGTCCTCCTATTTATCGCTGAGCCCGTCCCCTCCTTTCCTTTACTCACCAAAAATTATCCCAGCAAGCGACCCCAAGAAGATTTCAACAGTAACCATTGTGTGGAACATCCACTTGAGAGACATCAGGAAGTCCTGTACAAGTTCTCATTTCAGATCACTTCAGGATCTGTAAGGGGTATCTCAACAAGACATTTCGCAAGGAAATTTGCGCAGGTCCCCCGCAAGACCTCTTGAGAGGATCTCAGATATCTGCTGCAAGATCTCTGATGGAAGATCAGTATCCTCTTGAAGGGACCCCCTGCTAGGCTCACTTGGCCAGTGACCGGCCCAAAAAAAGTCTACACTTTTTGGGCCACCACTAAAATAAAGGGAGAGCCACCAAGGAAAAAACGTCCACTGGCTGGGTGAGTGAGTGGGAGGGAGGGTACATGAAAGGATCCTCTATATACAATTGCAAGAGGTCTCCGCCGGAGCACCCTCTCTCCGCGCGGGCCCCATTTCCCATGCCCGCCACGGTTTCTGAGCGTCCACAAAAAAGGCAGACGAGAACAGCGGTTGGTAACAAAGGCCGCTCGCGACGCTGCGCCTTCGAAATCAACATTATTCCAGAGAGAATTGTTGCACGAGCCTGCGTAGTCGAAACGAGCCTGCGTTGCCCGCGGCACCGGGATCTACACACCATGCCTTACACCGTAAGCCCTTAGTGTGGTCATACTGTTTGGAGACAAAGCTCCCTTGCCAAGCCGCGCCATGACGCTGAACATCTGCATCTGAAAACGGTAGTATTCCACCTTACTGCAGTTCATGTCGTCCATCAGTTGGCATTCCAGCTCCTGGTGCCTCCAGGCCACGCTCGAGGCGAACCGGACAGGGAGAGAGAGAGAGAGAGAGAGTTGAAAGTTGAAACTTGAAAGCCAAGCGTCTCTGAGCAAATGCCAGGGGGCCTTGAGGGTATGGGAAAGCCGGAATCTGCCCTTTGAACTTTGAACTCATTTCGGGTATGGAAGTCCCCGGACGCAAGGATCCATCCAACTTGAATGCTCCACTCTCACAACAAATTCGCTAGGAGTTCACCCCGCTCCGTTGGCCCAAATTCATGGCCCAGCTCCGGGTTTCCTTGGGCCACCTTGGATGTCCCAGGGCCCTTGAAGTTCTAGGCTTCCGTGCCCGCTGTTGCACAAGGATCCCCGAAAAACAACTCGACCTTGGCCAGAAATCCCTGAAAGATAGTTGTCCTTTTTCAGGGTCTTCTCGTGGATGGATGTTTTCGAGGGTCTTCTTTGCAGGTTGGTTTCAGGTTGCTTTGGGGGAAACCAAAGGAAACTGCTCATTTTTGGAATTCCCTTATTCTGACAAATACCCTCCAGCCCTTGCACCTCTGGCTGCACGCCACGTGCAGCAGTGGAAAGTTGGCTACGAGGCGATCCGTGTAGGCCATCATCATCAGCACCATATGCAGCCTCCCCGCAAACATGTTCGATGAGTTCGGCGTCAGATCAATCCGGTCACATGTAGTCCCAGGACCCCCCAATAGATACTGTGCGAACCACAAGGGAGCCACTGATTTGCACGGCGCTCCGAATTGATCCGAAGTTAACATTACTATTGTTGCCTGCAAGGTAAAACCCGCTTCGAGTGTTTGTCTATTCGGGAGAAGGGTTGCACAAACTTGCGGTCCAGTTGCCATATTTCGAAGAGTGGTCCCCCGAAGTTCCGCACATGTCTGGACAAGCTACTATAAGTTAGTTGGAAAGAAGTTCGCAAACCCTCAAGCGAGGGCTGCTGTCCCCCTCTTTCGCGGCGAGTCGCCGTGTGCAAAAAGGCCCCCGAGCCCAAGGGCGCCGCTTTGAGCCCCAGCTCGGGGCAAAGAACCGCAGAATCACAGAAGGGCCTTGAAGCTGAGCTCGTTTTTCCTTTTCCAGGCTTACTATTTGCCCAGCCTGATGGACTTCCAGTAGGTGTTGAGCAAGGGCAAAGGCACCAGAACTAGGAGGCACAGCACCTCAGTGGTTGATTGGGTCCGACGTCCCCCTTTTCTTTTGCACGGCTTGCAAAAGGAAGCCGAGAGAACAACCAATCCTCCTTGAGACATGGTGGAAATTGGACCGGCTCCTGCGTGCAGTCCCAGAAGATGGTTAGTGTCCAGAATCACTTTACAGGGGATGGCCCTAAAACAAATTTCCCACACCCATGACCCAGCCTGAGCCGTTGCCATTTCAACATGACGAAGGATGAACCCAACCCGCCCAAATGACCGGCCAGCATGAGAAGCAAACAGCGTTGGCCTTAAAGCACGCTGTGGGGGGGGATTCGCCGCAGGGGCAGTTTCCGTGGAAGTCCTGAGCTGCCCTTCAAACCAAATGCCACCCAAATTAAGGGCAATGGTATCTGCAAGGGCGTGTTCCTTTGGCCCGATGGCCATTTAGTCAGCTTCCCTGTGATTCGTGGTTTGGATTTGTGGTTTGGAGGTCTTCCGGGTATCTCCCCATCTACCCCCATCAAGGTCCGGGGCTTCAACACCAATTTTGAGCAATCGTTCTCAAGTTTGAGGCATGGCAACGCCTTGGCTGGGCCGTTTGCCCCACACAAAAAAGGCGCGTTGTAGGCCAGCGTGAGCCGAAACATGGGCAGGACCCCCATGCCCTCGAAGCTGCACCCGTGGTTCAGCACCTGAAGAACCACGTCACCCGACTCAACGACTCGCAAAAGGCCAGGAAAATCTGGGTGAATTTTAGGTGGTCGGGGGGCTATTCCCCACATAAACCACCATTTGGGGTGAGGTCGTGTGAGGTCGTTAGATGGAGTCCGCAAGCCAAGAAAACAGAAAAACGTCCCCTGTTTGAAAATCGAAAGCGAAGCCCAGTCATTTCGTGTACCCACATCTGTCTTCCGGCCTCTTGCACTTCACCTGTTGGCTTCTGGCGTCTTGCCCACCAAAATGCAAGCTAAGGTTTCGATGGGGTGGAAACTGGCAGTGCTCACTTCCAAGGCAAGCTGTCTGGCCCGGCGCGGGCTCCTGGCCAGCTTGCGGTATCGTAACCAGGGCTACAAAGTGGCTGAATAAGAGGAAGCCCCAAAGTCCAATACAATTTTGCTTGGACTTACACTCGAAACGCCATTGTCCCTGGCTAGAGTGCTTCGACTGGAGCACCCAAACCATGTGGTTCAGGTCCTCCAAACGAATAATCCACCGAACCAACATTTGGCTTTGACCTTAGGCGCCTCCCAGATAAAAGCGTCGACTGCCTTGGCTTGAAAGTCGCAGGCGGGAACTGTCCATGACCCGGAACCCATTGACCATCTGGATGCGTTCGACCAAACCTCCGGGCCTTGATAATGGCATCCAGCCGAAGCATGATCTCGCAGAGCGCAAGGAAGTAGCTGCCCAAAACCTGAAGTCGATGGGGCAACGGAGCAGATTCCTTTTTCAATACATTGGCGGCACTGACTTGGAGTGACCTACTTAATCGTTTCCAGAAGGCCAAAGCGATCATCACACTCACAACAAGGGAAAAGTGTTGAAGTGATCTTCCAGAAGAAATGCCCAGCCCATCTTCCACAACCTGTCAAAAAGCATAAACAGCTCGAACCAGTTGATCCCTCCGAGCCGGTGCAAATGGGCATGATCCCATGAGACCTTGGCAGACAATAATTCACCAAACTGAGATCTTGGCACAAATCCCGGACGGGTCCAATCCCAGAAGATGACCACATCGCTCCGTTCGGATCGGAACGGAGTTTTTTCTATAGTAAATCCGTGAGCGGTTCGAGACATCGAGCTTCCCGATTTGGAGTGGTTCGTTGGAGCTTGCGCTTAGGAGCTAGCTTCCCATCTACCGTTTATCGGAAGTATCGAATCAAATCCCCAAACCAGCAATCCAAACCGCTTAAGGATCGGGGGCTTACACCTGGGTATTCCCTAAAAAGCATATCACGTCAAACTGCACCCGGGTTTGAAGCATATTGGGTCTGAAAAGACTTCAAGTCATACATCCCCCTGCTGCCAAACAGCGGTAATTTAGCACCTAGATGCACCTAGATTGATTCAAAGTCTTCCCGTTTGGATCACCTGGCGGTTGGTCAAAAGGCCCTTTACATGGGACGACCAGCAGGGAGAACCACTAAAAAGATGATATTTCACACTAAACGGGAAAAGTTAACCATGGTCATTCGGGGGCCAGGGATGTTGATCAACCCCCACCAGAGTCAAAAAAGGACAAGCCAAGTGGCCACCTGATCTAAGCACCCGATGGAACGCCATTGTCTCTCTACCAAGGGATCCACAAAGGCGATGGAGGACTTGGACGTCACGTCGTTCACCTCGACTCCCAAATGGCGCGTCGAAGAGATCTTTTCGGACACCCAACGAAACCTTCAGGATTCCAACCGTTGAAACAACGAGGGGCTGGGAAAACCATCCTGGCTCACCTGAGGGTCATAATCCAGATCGGTCAATTGTTTGAATGGGGGTGGAAGCCTGGGTGTGGGTTGGATTCGACAGGGAGACCAAAAAGGAAACCAACATTGTGGGATCCGAAGTACGGCCCAACAGCATCCGCGTCTTGTAAACAAGTGAGGCGTTCCCTTCTTTTGAGGCGTTTCTGCTTCGGACGGGCTCAGGGTTCGCGAGAGCGCTTCTCATGCATCACTTGCCGAGAATGCCCTGCTCTAAGGGATGTCCTTTTCCCGGGTTGAAGTCAACCAACAACTCACTTCCTGAGTAGGTTGGCCAAAGTCCAAACGTTCACCACTGAAATGGTCCCACCAAGTTTAAAGTCCAGGAACTCAGGCAGTGAGACAAACATGCGGACCAGGTGGATTGTTGCCCGCCAATCAGCCTAGAGCTTTCAGTCGCAGCACACGGAAAACTGATTTGGGTGTGTGCTTTCCGCTTTCAGTTACCCCAACATCCAGAATTTCACACCTGTCGTGCTTCATTTTGAAGCCCATTCTATTTTCCTGAGGAGACCCCCCCCCAAGAAAAAAGAAAAAAGAAAAAAATAACATGGGCAACCCCACCACTGGACCCCAGCCATCCCCCCCCGTCCGACTCAGCTTCCGGCCACCGGCTGATCGAGGCCTTGTCGCCGGACGTGCTCCTGGCTTGGAGCCAGTCAGGCGCCTACCCGCTTTGGACAGGCGTCTCCCCGCGTGCGACAGACAGGCGCTATGAATAGAAAACTAGCTAAGTTGAAGCCCTGGTTCAAAACAAATCGTTGAGTATGCTGAAGATATGTATTCAAACAGGGGATTGAGGTGAGCTTATGTGTTACAATCTCAGTGTCTCAATATGAGCAGGGGGGTGTTGGAAGACTATCACCCTCGAAAAGCTCCCTTGCTGACTGCGTTGCTGGAATGAGAGAAAACACCCCTTCGACCTCCTTTCGGTATCCTGTTGAACCTGGTTTATTAATAGGGGCCATCCCCAAAAGTAGTGAGCAACCAAGGGTTTGTGCATTTCGGGGTACATTTTTTTTGTGTGTGGGGGGGGGGGGGTGGGTGGGTGGGTGGGCGGGGGTGGTCCTTTCCAAGGAACACCCCACGAATTGCCAAGGATGTACACACCGAGTTTGACGGGGCCAGGACATCTGCGACAAGAAGCATGTATGGAAGCCAAACAGCTGCAAAAGAGCGCAGGCAAACAACCGGGTTGCTTCCAGGATAATTCAGCAACCACCTGCTTTGCAACGGGGTCCTCTAAATCAGCGGTGACGGTGACATTTTGATTGGCCCAAATGCATGAGCACTTTGGGGAAGCCGAAGAACTGCCCCAGCTGTGGGGATGCGCTGCCGAAGCAGGCAGGAGGCCCAAATTGAGCCTGGCTCTTAAGGCTATGTTTGGGGACCATCTGTTGCCAGCTTCTTGGTGGAGCGTGCAATTCGCCCTGACAGTGTTACACGTTAGGTGGGAAATGTCGCTTGCAGCTCATTGTCCGAAAACTCCCTTAGACATACAGCTGGAACTTGTGCACTTTCTGTTGGTGGTTCGGTGATTGACAGTGGCTGGAAGCAACCAACTGGTTTTGCACCATGAGAAAAGTGGCGGCGGGGCTTCGATTTTCCGCTTGAAGCTCCTGGTCCTCAACTCCTGGTTACCCAATTTGTGCCCGCAAGAGCCTCCCTCTCCCCTGCTGTCCTCAATGCTGGCATTGAGGGTGTCCCGCTGGAAGATCATGTTCTGCAGCTCCGGGTCCAACTCCTCGAAGGAGCCCGGCTCGCATCCTTGCGAGCGACTGTCTTCTGTGACCGAGTTGTCCTCTCATCGCATCTTGGCATCTTGGCTTACATCGCCTTTTCGAAGCAAAACAATGGGGGCTAAGACAAACAACCGCCATGTTTTACCTAAGGAGTGTCAGAGGGGTCCTGGAAGACCGTCCTTTAAAATGGACCCTCTGGTTCTTCCACGTTCGTGGAAAGGAAGTTAACTTTTATTCCATGGGGTTTGAAGCCTCGGGTTCTCTCGGTTCTCGTCAGTCCCCAGCCCTTGGGGCCCTGAGGCCCCCGAAATCATACGGGTCCCAGAAAATAGTGGTCAGAGTCTGGTCCATATGTCACCTGCCCTAAATTATGTAACATACATTTCTTGAAGACCTCAGAAAAAGGGCGGCCGTGGAAACAGAGTCATCAGCCCCAGTCATCCCCGGCTCGCCCTCAACTTACTGGAGAGATGTAGGGCAGCCTCACTCTGCGTCCCCCAGCGGGGCTAAAGCCTAGCCTGCTCCGAGCAAGCAATGTGGGTTTGTCTCGGATCGTTCCCCTTCAAATCCCCTTGAGACACACCCACATATGAAAGCTGACTGCGATATTTCGAGGTCGCCGCTCGCTTGAGACCCGGAGTGCGCTTTCGAGGCCCGGACAAAAATGTGCCCTCAGCGGTCCGTAATGGTATGGAACTGGCTTAAGAAAGTCACCACAAACAATTGGGCTGAAACGGCCACCCCTTGCTATGGCTGCAACGTGGCTCCGTATCCAAGGGGCGTCGTCGTCGGCTGCAGGGCCAGAGCCAGTTCTCTTCGGATGACTCTGTCGATGTCTCCGAGTCGTTGCTGCTGGAGTCGGCCATGAGCCATGGGAGACGCGGCACGGCCCAACCGCAGCCGCTAAGTCCACTCCAGCTCCCGATCCTGTGGAGGCGATGCGTCTTGGCTCGTGTGCTGGTGGGGCTGAGGACATCAATGGCTGAAGTATGCAGGCTTGTGCCAAGCCCGGACCGGAAACAATGCAGGGGGCGGATGGAAAGCAAACCCATCGCACAAGAACTGGCCATCCATTCACAACAAATCACAGTCATGGCACTGTCCCTGGGATCCGAACTTAAAGGCTCCACCCGGGCACGCGCCCTGCCTATGTGTCGAGCCACCAACAACAAGCTGCGAGCGAGCTGTGAGCTGGGCGAAATGCGTTCAACCGCATTAGGGGCACGGAGTGCAAACTTCGAGCATCCCTAAGACGAGCCTGTTGTGAATGTGTTTTGACAACAGCTATCCTTGAAAAGGAAAGCCCGCGCGCGCGAGGGGATGTTTGTGGGACCCAACGTTCCAAGTGTTTGATGAAAGGTCCCTGACACCCCCTATTTGTTCTCTACAGAGCGACATGCGACTTCCCCAGACCGAGAAATGCTTCAGACGTGCAAATCGTAGTGGAACAAAACCCGCATGTCCACTTGGCATGTCATGAAGGCCGTGTTTTGGGACCCAGACCAAAAGAAGTGGACCAACTGGCGGCATTGGGTGTGTCTCAAAATACGGAAACCCCGAAATTGTGTTTGTTCGTCGAGTTCCCTTTCAAACGACCCAACAAACGGTACCCGGAGAAAACGACCCGCCCAGTTGGAAGACATACCAAAGAGCCAGCGTTGCCATGGTTCCCTCTCGAACTCTGTGCCCCATTCGCTTGTTGGCACGCCCACCCTGCCTTGGCCAGTTGGCCAGGCCTCAGCAATACCGAACCCCTGCACGACGCTGGACACAGCAATTCCAAACGGGGATTTCTCAAAATAGCAGTCCCCTAAACTAAACATTCACCACAAGGGGTACCATGTTGCAGACACCCTCCAAGCGTTCCTCAAGGCAGATGAAACCTGCTCCCAACCTCCACTCGACAAGCCCGCTTTGCTCCATTGGAGCTGAACTCACGGCTCAAGCAATGCCAATGGGAGCTATTCACATGTTGCTCGTGCCGTTATGTTCATTCCACCCCTCCACCGAGTCACCGCACCGGCATGCGAGAAATGCAAGGACCAGTTGGGAGCTCCCTTCGTGACGCTCTCTAACTGAACTCCGGCCAACTCCAGAAGCCCGAAGCATTACAATTACACAGGAAGGCGATGTTTCAGACCCCTTCAAGCACACTTTCAGAGAGAAATACGGGGAGCCCTTGAAAAGTGCGTTGCCAGGCGCTCACTCAGCCAGGCGGCCGAGCCGATCATCCATCATTGCACGCGCGCCACGCTCCGATTGGCTCCACTCTCTGCCTTCGGGGTCCTCTGGATTGCTGGTACTCTTATATTACCCTGGAACCAATAAAAATGAGAACATCATGTTCTGTTGCACCTGGCTAGACAGTTCCTTCTATTCATTTGCGGGTGAGTCAGCTCTTGCCCCGAATCAAAGCGACGTTTAGAGTCTGGTTCATAGCTACTCCTCCTTACCCACAAGCCAGACAACATGAAGCCAAATTTGTTTAGGGTAACAAAGCCCCCTCTTTTGGGCATGGTTGTGGGAAATAACCCTTTCTGTGAGACCAACGTCTATCATGGAGAATTATGATGACTACATTGTCACTTTCAAGGGGCCCGTCTTGCTATCACAAACACAACAAATCCAACACTGATTCAGAGCCATAGCAAGGTGAGACATCAAAGGTTCATGGCCCTTAGTGGCACTTGATGGCCATTGCTAGTCACTATGCGTTGTGACTCTGAATCAGCAAACAACAACTGGGCCTAAGACCTCACTTACGCATTTTGACGCGTACCCCTTTGGCTTCCTTTTAAGCCAGCCCTAACAGGGGCACCCGAATGGGCCTCAAACCTGTGGGCATGCGTGAAGTTCGTGCGATATCGAACTCCGAGGTCTGCGAGCCATCCGGCCGGCTGGGTTACACACCACCATTTGGACAAGTTTAAGCTGTTGTTCAAACACTCATAGCGTTGTTTGCGCTATTTCATGAATTGGCTCGTTCAGTTAGTCATTTACTTGTCGTTTGATTCATATGCAAATAGGTGTAATCTACTCTTTGAAAAACAGTTTTCAAACAAGGTAGCCTAACACTGAAACCCTCTGCTGCAGTAATGCCCAACAAAGCCACCTGCAAACAGGGCTTCCAACTACATGTCCAACTGCAAACAACTCGCTTTTGGAACCCTAGCACACCACCCCGGACATGGCGGGTTCCAAATTAGGGGCCAATTCTGCTGGTGGTTTGTTTCCTTTCGGTTTCCATTTCAAACCGTCCATAAAAAGCGGTTCCCATTTGGAGGCCTGCCCATAGAAACAAATACCCGTGACAACCAGACATGGAAAGCCAACGGGCTCAGGAACCGATAGACTCTTTCCACATCAAGTAAGGTCCCTGACACCTAGCCTGCGGAATCCGGACTTGAGAGCTACCCCTATAGAAAAAGTCCTCTCCCAGGAGATCCGCGCCTGTGTGCCAACCATGCTCTTAGCCAGCACCTGAAAAGGTTCGTCTCCTTGGGCACCAAGGCTTGACATGGATCAAATTTTGGACGCTGGAAGCTCAGGGCTTCTTTGGGCAACACATCCTATTGGGGTGCCTTGTTTGAGCGCTCCCGTCCGTCGTTTGTCCGACAAGCCCAAATGCAGGCCGAACTCCCGCATCGCAGCCCAGCTCTTTTTCAAAGCTCCCGTGCCTTCCAGCATAGCAATCCAAGCCAGCAGCAAGCAGTTCACCAACGGCTCGTTTTGACTGCCTTCGGTCGGGTTTTGGCTTTGGACCCGTGTCTTTAGTGAGCCACAAGGAAACCTATAACTTTGGGGTGTCCTAGTTTAAGACACACCCACCTCAACCCTAGGGGGACAAAGGGCCCGTCAAATTGACAAATCCTTCTAAGACTTCAAAAGATGCAACGATCCAGGCATGCCATCATTCTCTTCCACATGTAAACCTTGTTGTTCAACATGATCACCACCAGTTCGCCTGTCAAAACAACCTGCACAACCTTCTCTGGAATGCCTGCAATGCTCACGTCAACCCCTTGACCGCCAGGAAAACCAAAAAAGCCATGCGGACAAAGAGAACCAGCGCAACACCAAACACCAACACTCCCGGGAGTTTCGCTCAATCTGAAGCTGTTGCCTCGGCTCCCCCTGCTCGTGAACACATGCGATGATTGCCAGGAATGACTTCAGATTGCAGCACCATGCCATCGCCCTGCTGCCGTATCTGACCCCCATATATCGGCACCTTGGATTCAACTGGATGGGCCCCCAGGGATCGGATTGAGGCACTTCGCATCTTCCCAGCGCGTCTTCCCCGTGTTGGGTAACATCTGGCCTGTCTCCTTCCGATCCCATCTCTACAGGACCCCCCCGCCCTGTGAGAGAACAGTGCTCCCAGCGTCGGATGGTGTCGCTCGCATTGGCTGACTAAACACTGGCGCCAAATTTTGATGCAACGAACTCACAGGAACAGGTCATGGCTGGTTTGCCCATCGGCAAGTTGGCAAGTTGCAAAGCGCTGAGCCTTGCCACTTTCCATCCTGACCTTCTTGGGGGAGCACTGCGTTCGCGGTGACACCGCTTCCTACCTGGTCGAATTCCCACCGACGCAGAATCTCCACCGCCCGCATGAAACGAATGGCTCTCGCTTACTGGCGAAGGTGGCAAAGTCATCAGCCATACCCAGCGGGTCCAAGTGACCGGATGTTGGGGAACCGTCAGGCTGGTCAAGTTTCCTTCCCCCAAACGGACTTTCGGATCCACTGGGGCCCCAGATTTCAGCAAGCCCCGAGGGTTCCAGCACAGTTCACCGGCAGCCCCAAACTTCAAAAGGCGCAGACTCACTATTGGGGATTTGTAGGCGTCCCCAGAAAGAAGTTTAATGAACGTGGGACGAGGCGATGCTTGACCCAAGGGGGAAGTACAAGGACCCCTCCTTGTCGCCGAAGTCAAGGGCACCCGACAAGAGTTCCCAGAGATACCCCGGGGTGAGAATGAGCTCATCATGACCTCATCCAGGAGGGTGGCCCCCTGGATCAGCCGCCTCCCACCTGCCCGCAGCAGGCACTTGGCTATGGATTCGTCGTAGGGAACCCTCACAAATGATAGGTGGATACAACCCCCCAGTGGTCCCAAAGGCAAACCAATCTAAATGTCACACCCACATGTGGCAAGACGACTCGAGGGAGGCGCCTCATACCAAAATCGTCTGGCACGTGACTGAGTTGTTGCTAAAAGCCCCAAAAATTCTCTCCACGTCTCCCTCCACCAACCCGGCGTGCTGGCAGGTCCGTTGCGCAAATCCAGACAACCACCTGTCTTTGTGGCGACCCTCTCCAGACCGCCGCCTTCGTCGTCCAGGCGGCCGGAATGCTGCAGCAGCGCCGCAACTTCGGCCGAGGGCACCTGCCGAGCCGAGTCGAAAAACGCCCATCGGGGAAAGGGAAAACCAATTCGGGCGGCGCCTGAAATGAGAAACGGCAAAAAGGGCGGCGAACATACGCAACACCAGAAAGAAGCCTGAGAGGATAGGAAGCTTCACCAGAAAAAAAATGGCCAGGTTTGCTTTCAGCGTTCATCTGGGTTCGCTCCGGTCCACGTGTGCCTTTTCTGCGCGTGCTTCAACGAGGGCCATTTCTGCTCATGGTGATGCAAATGATTGTCCAAAGCTGATTGCGGAAGTCAAGGAACCCGCCGTGACTATCGTTTCGGGTTGCCATGACAAAACGTGGTCGTTTGTGCGAGTTTCTCAAAATGGTTTCTTTGTTCTTTCTTCTTCATTAAAGGAAATCAGCCGTTTTGGGGTGCCACTACTTTTTGAGAAACTTCCAAACCGCCAAAAAGGCCAACGCGGTGACTGAAGCTGCTCATGGCACGGCCTCTTGACGCAAGTGGACCCAAGTGGCAACACCTTCATTTCGACACCTCACGACTGCTCCAAGCGGCCGTCCAGTTTTCAGGTAAAAGGGGGTGGTGTCCGGGCAGGGCTTGGCAACCCGTGAAGGGTCACACTTTGCCCGACGCCACATCCCCACAACCAAGTGCGGCCTGCGGAGTCTTTGAAGACGCGCGGGAGCATTGCCTGTCACTGGCCGAGTGTTTTCCCCGCGCTCTCTGGCTTTGCTGCCAGCTTCAAGTCATGTGCCATTTGGAGCGGGACACTCGGGCCACCTCGTGCAAGCACTGGGAATGGGTTGAAATTGGGTCCAGTCAAGCGATACCCCCTAAGAATTACACCTTCAGAGGCGGTGGAAACAGCAATTCGCCCCCAGTGTTGTTGATACCCCCCAACAAGAATAACGAACACAAAAACCATTTCCGGCCCCGGCTGACAGCGCATCTCCCCCTGCGCATCCAGAAACATGCTAAACGGCGACCTTTCCCCAGCCTTGGCCCAGTGGGCGGGCCTGGATCACGGCAGCGGGATTCCTTCAAGGCCACAACTTCCCACAAACCACGCACCATAGCTTTTTACCCTCCTTTGGGAGGGTCATGCATTGGACGTTGTCTGGCTGGGTTAAGATGCTCCGTGCATTCCAGGTTACCTCCCCACAGGTGCTACGTTGGCGCAAAGGGCTCCGTGTTCCGAACAGATTGTCGACTTGCACCAGGCACGCCAGCCGGGCCGCCACCAGGGGAGACGCCAATTGGCACGCACGGAAAAGATGCGAGGAAGTTTGCAGCGCATCGGGGGGTTATAAGGTAGATGGATTGCTGCAACTGAGGAACGGGGCAGGAGGTGGTTGGAGCGAAGTGGCAATGAGTATTGGAACTCACCGTTCGTCGTGGTCATGGTATATACCATGCCGCCATGTTCATCTTCTTCACAATAATCATCATCATCATCATCATCATCATCATCATCATCATCATCATCATCATCATCATCATAATCATCCTCATCATCACTCCACCACGACTGTTAACCAATGCAGGTGACATGTTCAATTTTGTTCAGCCATCAGTGGCTTCAGTCCGACACATCATTCATCATCTTCACTTGTTGCAGGCGAACCCGAGCTCTCCATGCCAAGCAACCTGTGACTTGAGGACGGGAGGCTTCCGTCGAGAAGGACGACTTCAAGTCCGAACAGTTGCTCGTTGCACAGCGCGATCCGCTCTAAACAAATGCAGGTGTTCAAAGGCTCAAGTTCAACCCTTTCAGCCTCTGCAAGCTTCACCCCGACGTCCAAGACCATTTTTGGGGCGCCCGGCCACCGGTCGGACCAACACGTCCCCCTGGGGCGGCTCGCTGTGAAAGAGCCGGCGCCTCAGCCGAAAAGGAAAAGCAAGTGGTGGCGGCAAGCTGGTACGAACATCCATTCTTGGAAAACGGAACAACATTTCCACCCTGGGATGTGTTTTTTCTTGGGAGGGAGGCACTCCCCCTCCCCCCCAAGAATAATAAGAAAGAAAGAAAGAAAGAAAGAAAGAAATAAAGAAAGAAAGAAAGAAGCACAAACACACACACACACAAGCACACAAGCACACAAGCACACAAGCACACAAGCACACAAGCACACAAGCACACAAGCACACAAGCACACAAGCACACAAGCACACAAGCACACAAGCACACAAGCACACAAGCACACAAGCACACAAGCACACAAGCACACAAACACACACAACACACAAACACACAAGACAAACACACAAACACACAAACACACAAACACACAAACACACAAACACACAAACACACAAACACACAAACACACACACACACACACACACACACACACACACACACACACACACACACACACACACACACACACACACACACACACACACACACACACACACACACACACACACACACACACACACACACACACACACACACACACACACACACACACACACACACACACACTTGAACTCCAGATGGAGAGTGCTAATCTTTCGAGTACAACTGATGAGTCTCGAGTACAACCGACAAGTCTCGAGTATGATGAGTTTCGGCTCTCAATGCACTTGGCTTCCCTCTAGTGTCGAACACGTTACGAGCAAGAACAAGAAGCACAAACAGCGCCGCAACCAAGGGGCCAAAAGGACTTTCAGAATCACTGAAGCAGGTACAGGTGTCCACGTCTGGACACCCTTCCCACCTTTGGCAACAGCTTCATTGCGTGCAGTATGCCAAAGGTGCTGCACGCCCCTGCTGCGAAACCGAAAGGGTGGTGACAGGGCATTCTGTCACTCCGCACACACACGCCCCTCTACGAGGGGCGAGGTTTCTCTTTTCTCCTGCAGGAAGATCACATGCTCAAACTCAAATCACTATCGTTGGCCAAAATATCCACCACGGCGAGGGGAGCGAGACACTGCCCTAAACCGCTCAGAAGACGGGAACGAAAGTTCACAACGTTGAGCATTACGAGTGTCGCCATAGAGGACTGAAGCGATCTGCGAAGCAGCCGGGCGATCACCATGAGAAAACGGAGTGGCATAGGTGAAGGTCTCCTCAACTTGAACGGCATCGGAGTTCCGACCTTGACCAAGAGTCTGATCATGTGAACAGTGAGTTGCGAAGGACTCAATCCGAGACAGAATGCGCTGGTACCCTTGGTGTTGCCAGTCACGGATGTCCCATGCCTGGACTGGCGCTTCGGGATCCGTCACCCGCTGCCATTCACGAAAAGAGTTTTCAGGTAGATCAGGTACGGCGTCACCACGGTGCCATCGTTGAGGTTGTCCCGGAGTGTAAATCCGCACCCACTCCTGATCATGCCAGACCGAATATTCGAGCCATGGATACTGCTTGGAATCATCGATGTCCATGTCGAGGCAAGAGGCAAGGATGGTCGCGGGCTCCGATCCAGCTAGTAGGTGGACAAGCACCATGCACAACCATGTTCAAACAACAGCAAAGCAAGATCATGCAAGTGTAGAGGTCACCCTTATTTTGTACGCTGCGCTGCTCATGCAAGGCTAGTCTTCAGTGAGCTCGAAGACGGGCCTCATCTTGTCTTGGCCGCTACCGGACGGATTCACGGGCGTGTAGGGGTCGGAGACCCCAATCGTCTCCGATGGTGTGTTGCCACGCGATGCACGTACTGGTTGATGAGGATGAGAGGTCAGACGTGCGCGGGCCGTCAGTTGTTGAGAAATCCCCTCCTGGAGACGAATCAGTTCCTCAGTGGAGAAATCAGCCGCATCCGAGGACCTGAGAATCGCGTCTAACAGCTCCGGCGACATACTCAACGACGCAGACTGCGTGGCCACGTTATGGTGATCGGAGGGATACATGGAATCAAATTCATGACCGGCGTGAGGAGCAGCGATTCTCCGATAGCCCTCCGTGGCCCAGTCTCGCTTGTACCACGTAGTGACTTGGACTTGCCCTTCAACTGAGTCCTGGTTGGGAGCATAGAACTCCCGCCATTCTCTGAAAGTATGCGGAGGAGGTGGAGCATCCTGTTCTTCCTGAGGCGTCCATGGTCCCGGATGAAAGATCTTGACCCACTGGGCATCAGGTTGTTGAGGGTCCGGGCACCATTCCAGCCACGGCATGACAACGCAACCACGGAAAGTCAAGTTGATAGGTGTACGGCTGCAGACAACAACGAGTGAAAGCAAATCAACAATCAAAACGCAAAAGACCACTTTTGTAGCACTGTGCGGCGCCAACATCACAGTCAGACTCTCCAGGGAGGCGAGGACGGGCATCAGCTATCATGTGAATTGGATGATGCCGAAGAGGAGGTCATTCCAGCATACATGAGGTCCGGCGCACCCGAAGCGAAAACTGGCCTCGCTATGCTGGGATGTGGACGACCCAGGCGTTGGTACCCTCTGGTGACCCAGTCCCTGTAATACCAAGTGTAGAAAGTGGCGTGGGATACCGGTTGCAGAGCCGTGCCTATAGTTGTGCCGCCAGTGCTTTCCCTGGGCCAGTACACTTCGAAGTGGTAGACCTTGCGCCATTCCCGATAGGCGGTCGGGTCATCCGGGGCCGGTCCCAGGGTGTCAGGGGCTACTGGATGCCACTGACCCGGCACATAGATTCGAATCCATTCCACACTCGTTCCTGCTGGTCCATTGACGATGTCATAGTCAAAATAGCGAGGTAGGATCCATCCTGCTGCACCCTGCACCGTACTATTGAACATTTCAACCCGACAAGCTGCTCAAAGTTATCACAGAGAGCGGCGGACACATGGAGACAACATGCACAGCACCAAGCAAGACAACCCAATGAGAACTCACATTCAAAGCACGCACAACCTCATCTTTATCCAACATGCAACTCAAGAGTCAATCCGAATTATTCCAAGGATCATGGAATGGTGGCGGTGACGGTTCCCGCCACGCTCCATCAGGTACCGACGAGCCCACCGAGGACTCGATGTCTGCGTTGGCGAGCATCGCGAGTCCGATGGATTGGACAGGAGGTCCAAGTCGTTGGTACCCTCGCGTTTGCCAGTCTCGGTACTCCCACACGTGATAGGACACATAGGCACTGGGCGTGGCAATAGGATCCATTGTGGTGCCTCCGGTGCTGTCTTCAGACCAGTACACTTGGAAGTGGTATGATCTGCGCCACTCCCGAAATGTGGAAGCGTAAAGTGGGTCCGGAACTGGCGCTTCCTCCGGCCGGAGAGTAAATTCGAATCCATTCCACTCCTCTGTCGATCTGCTAAACAAATCGAAAGTCTGCGGCAAGGACACACATGCATTGCCAACCGCACACATCCACTGAGGAGCAAGGCAACTTTTCAAACACAAGGTGAAACGGGTCAGCGAGGTCTGAAATGTCTGAAACCTGGCTTTCACTGTCTTTGATGTCGCGCACACCTGCAATGATAGTGACCTGGTCGTCTACGTGCACAAGGGGAAAGACATTTCCGTCCATGGCGCAGGATGGCGTGACAGTAATGTTTGCATGTTGCCGATGGGGATCGCGATGAACGGCCAGCACGTTTGGAATAAAACACTGTAAAGGGCCGTCGAGATCGCCTCGGCGCTGAAGCTGATGCTGTCCGAGATCGTTTGGACGAGCGCCCTGGACTGCGTGGTACTTCATCACGGGAAGGGTCAGTGCTGTAGATCGAGCGGCGTGTGCGCTGCGATTTCAAAGAGGTAGGGCAGGATTGTCCGCGAGGGGCTGAGATCGAGGTGCTGCGTATCGAGGGCATAAACTGGGGGTGTAGAATCACCGGTGGTGGTGGTGGTGGTGGTGGAGGAGGTGGGAGAAGCAGTGGCAGACTTGGCGGGGGCGGAGGCGACGTAGTCAGCCGAATGGGTCTGTCGAGTAGAGCCCCGGGTCCATGAAATTGTAACCACGTCGGCTGCGCTCCATGGGTCCAGGTAATGTACGTCTGTACAACTTGTTCTGACATGATTTGAGCAACTCAGGAAAGACATCACTGCATGTCAACGACATTTCGCAACACGACAAGCAAGATTGAGTCACGTGCAAGCAAGCAAGTATCATGTGATCAACAACTCAAACCGGACACACCGCCGCCGCTTATCATTTGGTCCATCAATGGTCGCTGCTGCATTTGCCGGGCTTGTTCCTAGCCGCGAGCCTCAAGTTGTTGATAGACCTTCCATGCCTGCTTCACTTCCTCAATCGGCTTCTGAAGAAACCGCGCAATGGTCTTATAGGTGGGTCTGGAATCCTTATCTTTCTTCCGTCTCACCATTTCATCCAGCTCGCCCTGTGTCCATGCCGTGAAAGGTTCACGGTATGCATTGCGAAGTGCAATGGTAAACTCTTGTAGAAGTTCCCGAGGACCATGAACCACTGTCGGCGACGGCCGGAACGACGAGGCACCTGGATGCGGATGTATCGAACCATCAGAATCCGAATCAGGTGTCGTGGGCGTCGTCTGTCCTGGTTCTCGTGCACCGTGTGCCGCGAAAGGAGCACGAGGACGAGGCGGTGGCAGTCGATCTAACACAGATTCGGGCCGAGTACCAGGATTGTGTTCACTAGCATCACGATGTGCGGCTCGAGGCGGTGACAAAGCCGGTATGTACCAGGTAGATGACGTGTCCACCGGTCGAGCCCGAATGCGTGTGGGGGAACGAGATCGGTCCGAGGAGGCGAGCTCCGTGATGATGCGGGGCCGCAACCCATGTCTGGAGTTTCTTGGTGCTCTCGGGGTCACCACCGTGTCTGTCGGACGACCACGCTCCGTCATCAAGGCAAAGTTCAGTGTGTCCAAAGCTGTCGCGACTTGGGATGCAAGAACATTGAGCACAGCCACCAGGTTGTTCACAAACTCAGCCGACAACTGCATGGCAACCAATCAA